TGTAAAAAGAAGGAGAAACCAGTGTATTAGCCCAAAGGCAAATTCAAAAATTGTAATCATTTAAATGCTGTGTGCGTAAGACTTGAAAACGAATTTGTTATTTTCGGAGGATTTCAAATTCCCGTTTCCAAGAATCAATCACAGGATTATGGAATCGATGCCGATCGGTCGAATCCTTTTTCGGTGTTTCGCTGCCGATATTTTATTTGTATAACGAGACTCCAATTACACATTTAGTGCCTAAAATTGACGCTAATTCCGTGTAATTGAGTGCTCATGCTGGATTTAAGGCATACCATAAAATAATTGAGTGCCTTTTCTTTAATCTGCAGACGCATCATCTTCTTCTGTTGTATGCCACGTTTCGGTCCATTGTGGTTCGAATGAAAAATCGCTTCCACTCAAAAAAAAAACCGGTGATTAAAATCGCTGAATTCACACCTTGTTTGTGAATTTTTGCGGCTTTTTTTTCTCGTGCTACACCGAACCGTCATGCCATGCAATTTGTAGCTGGCCGCATGGAAATGTCTTAATTTACGCCAATAAATCTATATTTAATCGATTTGCGGTGCATAATTTTTCACGTTCATTGGGTTATGAGTGCCGCTGCGGTGTCGATGTTACGTTTACTGCTCAATATTCAACGGATCGAATCTCGCAGCAGTCGGTATGATCAATGGCGGTTACATGAGTGTAACCATTCATCGTATACGCAGAAAAAAAGAAACAACGACGCTGCCACGTATTTTGTTTCAGGACAATGAAATGCGATCAAAAATGTTAGATAAGTCTTTTAATTTTAAACGAAATAAAAAAATCACATAAAGAATAATCGAATGTTAAGCGTGCTCTGTTTAGCCCTGTTAAATCATAATAATTAGCCTTTGTGAGAAGCGTTCGTTCGAATTTTATCTGGGGAATTTATTAAAGGATCAAGCATTCATTACAATGCAATTTCTTGGCTACAAAAGGGCGCTACAACAGAGTTTGCTTCGTTTCGTAAAGGCAAAAAATGACTGGCAAAAATAAATGGTCTGGTTCAAAAGGCAAACGAGTAAGAAGAAACTGGATTAAAAGACGGGAAATATTAGAATAACATGCCAATGATGAACTCTCGGTTCCGATTGATTAACAGAAAATGTACACATGGTGAATTGGGCTTGATAAACGCAATCCCAGCTCGTCAAATGCTGAAGAGATGCTTTAACGAGCATTTCATGCACAATCGAGTTGTATTCAAATTCTCGGCTCATTTGTATTCATGTTTTTCTTATTCTCTTCCAGCAAACTGCGGGCCTCGCGTTAAAATCAATCATAAAATTAGCCAATCAAAAAGCAATTAATTCAAAACTGTCGGAGAATGTTTGTTTGAGTCTGATATCAAATTACTGTGTGATGAGTGACGATGACGATGGCATGGGAAGCCGTTTGCATTTGCCGAACGAACCAGTGTGGCAAAGCAAGTTTCATCAGTCATCAGAGCCATTTCAGTTAAAGTGTTTAACATGCTTTGATGTTTGCCCATTCAATGTCAAGTGCAGTAATTTAATTGACTGACACATTTGCCGGTTTGATACATTTAATCCGCCAGTCCAAATTCCAATTTGCAACGCCATTCATTCCCGACCTCTTTTCGCGTGTACACACGCACGAACACACCAATGGTTTTGGAAGCGACTTTAAATAAACCCGCAGCTGTGAAATGCATGAAATCAATTCACTCGTCGTTATGTTAAGTGGGTGCTAAACCGAAATTGCAGCACCAAATCTCTTTCGACTTTCTCATTCTCTTGTTCATCAAATCTGCACCGTTTACTTAATGATTGTGTGATGCTAATTCCTCTTTTCTGCCGCTTTTATTTAAATGTATCTCTAGTGACATTTTGCTGGTGCGCAAATGTCATGTGGATGCAGACAAAAGCCATGTGTGACATGGAAACAAATGAAATTGTTTGCAGTGTGGCGCGCAATCGCGAGTGCGAATACAAAACCGTATTCAAATACTATTGTCAAGCCCACATCGGATTAGTGTCAGCTAAAAAATGTGTGCGATATTTTGTTTGAATTTGCGTATTTGATCTCCAATCCAAAATTCCATTCCGGCTTTTGTGATGTCATTCGAAACGGCGAGGAATTTAGAGAAAAAAAGCATCGCGATTTCAAACGAGGCGGATAGAACGACACCGTAATCAAACCTCTGCCCATGGTGGTCTTGATATTCGCTTTGATGCAATCAGCTCATATTATGATAACCACTAAAATTTACTATTGATTATCATTTACTGTCCAAAATTCCCCTTTCGACCAGCACCCAACATAAACATGGTAGAACATTTTGAGAAAACACACTGTGCAATTGATTTGAAAAGGCCTGAGCATAAAAACCAAAATTCCAACCCAGTTTAATGAGCTCTTCGAACACAAATTTATAATCTGTTTTAGTATTAATTCGAGTAATTTAATTTCCCATTTGTACCGTTTCGATCGAAATTAAAATTCGATAAAACTCCTACCTTTTCAAAGACAATATGCGCCGGTTTTATCGGCCGATTAACGTAAATGAAATATCAAAACATTTCAACAAAAACGAATTCATGAGGTTGGTTTTCGATTTTATTGAACGTTATTTCGTTCTCCAATTTGTTTCGAAAATTATTGATATTTTTCTAAGTCAGCAGTTATGATTAAACGGAGTTAACGACATTTTCACTTTGAATGTGAGCTTGCTTTGTTGGACGAGCGAGAGAGAGAGAGTGAGGTGGAGAAAGAAAGAGAAGAAAAAAAATGCCGACAACCGTAAATGATGCGTGCGTGTGCATTTGGTGAATACGTCTACCAAAGCGATGCATATATTAATGAAATGTCTAAAACGCATGCAGATAAACAAATTAATTGAATCTTTGGCGTTGTTATTTTATTTGGTTTTTCTCTCGTCGTGTGGATGAGAACGAACGGGCATTTAAAATGACATCAAATTTTCAAATCATTTGTGTCAAAGGGAGAATAGAGCATCAAATCAACAGAAGAAAAAAAATTATCAACGATTTGTCATTCATCGCTTTGTCGTCGTTGTCGTTATGATTAAGGCTTTGCTTTTTGGGCAAAGAGAAACCGCTTTCGGTACACCACATGTTTGGGTAACGCATTTTGAATGTTAACCATCCATTCGCATTTATCATCAGCAAAATTAGTTTTTCCAACAGTCGAATTTCGTGAGAATATTTAACAAGTTCCATCGAAAAACACAAATGAGCCCAAATTGTGTGCGATGACAAAATCGACGAATTTTAATGTTGCACGAAGGACGTTTCGGTCAAACACTTCTTTATATTCGTATTTTATCTTATCATTTTTGTGAGCATGAACCTTGCTATACGTTCCTTCTTTTCACATTCAATAGAATTTGTCGCGCGATTGCAACGTGCCATAGTAATTCATGCTGTTGCTGCGAACGATGGAAGATCGCGTTGGAGCCATTCATTTAAATCACCATAGACATGGTGACAGAATGCAGTGCACGAGCTATATAAGCTACATGTAAAGTGTCAATTGATCGATTTTACATTTTCAACTAGAAGAGCCTCGAATAATTCCAAGGAAAACGCATAAAATCAACACTTAGATCACATTAAACACGGAATATTTTGTGCACAACGTTTCGAATTACGTCGAGAATAAATACTTCAAATGGTCGTACGATCGATAAGAACAACACCAAAGCGCAAAATTCGTATTCCATTACATGTGTGCAGACGAAGAGCTCATTTTAACAGTTGATTTACATCGGAATGAACGTAATTCAAATACCAAACAATGATTAATTGCTGACCAAAAACCAACGAGACAACAAAAACTCACATGACCATTCGAAACTGTGCGGAAAAACGATACAAAGCGAAAAAAAAAACTGCATTTTTACCGATGCAACATTTCCCTGAATTTGAATATACGTATTTAAAATGCGAAAATAAATTGTATCCGATTTGCATATGTTTAAAAGCAGTAATTGACTTGTTTAGTGGTCATTTCAATTGTGATTGTATGGGTTGAGTCAAATGTTATGCTGTACGATGGCACATCTCGATATAATTGAATTAGATTACAGCGATTACAAAGTATTAAACATGAGATTTTAACGATGTTCCATGCTGAATACTGAACGAACCACGACAAATACTGTATCAACTTGTCCTTATACTCAATGTCGGTTCTTGAACGTTTTTTTTCTTCCTCGAGCGACTTTTTTCAACTCGAGTAATTTGATGCGGAGGAAGTGAAAAATGAAAGAAGACTGCCGAATATTTTCAAGTGCACGATAGCTGATCTAGAAAATAACACACACGGTCTATTGTTATGATAAGCTAAAATACACACATATCAGATAGAAAGATAGAGATACTTTCTACAGTTAAATATAATCTCGTGTTGTCATCAATTTCAATTGTTTTGAAGTCGTTGAACTTTGGATCGTTTGACGATAAACAAACTCTAACTTTTTTTTGTTTTGAATCCTTAACTCATTGATGAAGAAGGGAGCGAAGAAGAAGGCGGCTCAAAATGAAAGGGTTCGAGTGTGAGTGTGTTTTTTTTCATTCGTTCACAACTGTCATTCAACTAATCTCAATTGAACATGAACATATGTTTTCATACGCATTTATTTGTGCAAGTGCTATACATTCACGCGTAGCACGCAATCATATGTTTCTATTTTGGCAGTCGAGCTAAGTCAATGCGGAATGTCACGAACCACTTTTGAAGGTGTTTTTTCGCTCAATTTCCTAATGTCAATTTCACTTATACGCTTATAGCTAAAGAGTTTAATTTTCAACGTAGAAAAAAAGACCAACAATACAAAGTAAAGTAATGCTGATTTCCCGTTTCGTCTTCAATTGATTCAATGAACGCAGAACAACCTGAGAGACATCGGTGATTTGCACAATAGATACCGAATGAATTTTAAAATAAATCACTGTGTTCACTATTGATAGGAATCAACTTACTTTCATCTTTTTCGGATTGAATGCAGTCACCGCAGACGAATGTTGCCATTTAAAATAAGCTCCGGCACAAACACTACCGCCCAACAAATACCACCAATATGTCTGTCCATTGTTTAACTTTCGATTGATTTGCTGATTTGTACTGAAATTCCGTGGAAATTGTCGAAAATTTTCAATTTTCAAACGAGACCAGCGAACAGGCAAACCTTTGACAGAAGCCATTGCGTTTTTCACTCAACACAAATTCGTCGTCGTCTATCCACGTTCAGTCCAAGTGACAGCTGACAGTTCACAGTCTCTCTGTATTGGTACACGTACGTGTGTGGCAACAGAGTATTTGAGCGTTTTTTCTGACTTCACTCAAGACTGTGGTGAGATTTGAGTATTTGGTGAGTTTTTTTTTAATTCGTTCGTTTAAGATCTAACGTACTTTTCAGAAGGAAGAAAAACTATTGTGCAAAATTTATAGAAGAAAAGTTGAACGTTTTTGTTCAAGAGTTTCAAAGAAAAATCTGGTGAAATCTATGCAAGCCAATCCATAATTAATGTGCACCACTGACAGACGAATGACCTGAAAACGCGGAATAATTTATAAAATGAATTCTGTGGAATTTATCGTTGCAGTTATTGCATAAATTCATCAAAATCAATTGATTGAAGACACAAAAAAAATAGTGCTCCATGCCATCCTTCATTTGACTTGGCTAGCCGGGGAACAAACCGGCAAACTGTATTTGCATATAAATTAAAATTGAAGAGAGAAATTATTTGCAAAAGTTTAACTGGAGCAAACGGCATTTCCAATTATCAATTTGTTGGCTGCATTGCAGCAGCCTTTAAGTCGCAGCATGATGAATGTGCTGCTGTATGCATAATAATGAAGTGTGTGCTTTTCTTTCAGTTCTTTTTCACGCTCTGCGTGTGTGCGCCATCAATTGAATGAATTCATTAAAGCCAATTGAAAATGAACAAAAATTAGAAATTATTTGTGATAGAAAAGGAAGAGAGAAAAAATGAAAAAAAAAATCACCGAACTCATTCGAATCGGGGAGTGAAAGAGGAAGAGAAAGAAATGAGAGAAGAAGAGACAGGCAGAGACAGATAGAGAGAATGAGAAAGATAAAAGTGACAAATTCGGGTCATTTTTATCAAGATGTGTAAATTATCAAAAAAATTGTGCTTCACTAAATTCCTTTCCAAGCGAACATGCGTGCGCTTCAATGCTGCGGTCGACGTGAGCATTGCCGAAAATTTCGGTGTCAATTCGCAAGCACGCAAGTATTTCGCATGATTAAATTCATCACCTCACAACAACCGGAAACTTTATCTCTCTTTACGTCACTTTCTCGCTCATAGCGAACATTTCTGCGCCGTCTATACCGGCGAATCTGTTCAAAACTCCTCTTTGTTGGTTATCGCCATGAATTTGCATATGACTGAAAAGAGTATTTTGTTGTCAACTTTTCAACGATGAGATAACCAATAGAAATGCGTATCATTTAATTTTAATAACAAAACTATTTTATGCGATGGAATTGATTAATTCAGTCATTCACATCATATGCTGTTGTGCGTACTGCAAGTCTGTTTTATCCAACGCTAACAAGAAGTCACTTCCAACTGAGTTATCAAGATAAACGAATACTTACGCCAATCCATTGAGGTCAACCCATGGAAAAACTACGGCAAATTTGCCAGTTCGTAAATATAGTTGTTTGGACAACCAATCAAACTAGATTCAAACACATGGATCACTCTCATTAAATTTGTCATTTATTTATTGATTTTGCATGTAATTTATAAATTGAATGATAAATGAGCAACGATTTTGAATTATTTTTCTTTCTGCGGTGCGTGTGTCAGCTTAAAATGCTATTTATCAAAATAAGTAGAAAAGAAGTCAAGAAGAAAAAATGGCAAGAAAATTCACGAAGAGAAAAATATACACAAGAAAGAAGAAGAAAAAGCAGTAGTTGCCTTAAACTCGGACACATTTTTATCGTAAATCGAATGATGGATAGAAACAAAATGATGATTGGCTTCTAGTGATAAAATAATTTAGTTCACACAAATAAAATACACAAGAGTATAACATAAAAAAAATCTTTGTAAATGTATCTAAATAAAAGAAGAACACTTTCTCCGCCTCAGTTAGACTAGTCACTCTAAATCGAAATGAGCAAAACATTGATTTGATGCAATTTATAAACAATTTCGACCGATTTATCAATCCGAGGATAAATGTCGAAACTCTAACCATTTTCTTTCTTGTTCACATCAACTCAAAATCTAAAGTAAATGTTGCAATTTCTTATTTAGTTTAGCTTGAATTTTGGTCACGACAATATGGAAATATGAATAAACATGTGGTTAAATGAAGATTATCGGTGAAGTACAATGGATGCGTGTCTCTATGCGAATACAAATACTTTTTACATGCTAATTGTTGTTGCGAGTATGGTTTCATAGTTGTGTGTGAAAATTTGTGCTATTTTCGTCTCGTGCGATATATATATATATATAACTTTTTGCATGGCTCTGTGTAATGGTTTACTTATTTGATGATGGCTAATTGCCACAATTGTGTATTATTAAAACAAAGTCTCGTATCAAATCAATTGAAACGCGCGCTACTCACTAGATCCAAACTTATGAAACAGAAAAAAATACGTAGATAAAATAACCTGAGATTTTTGATGCTACGCTTAAATGCTAGATTTAAAAAAAAGCTTTTATAATTTAATATTTGAATGAACGCAGTTTGTGGTTAAGTATTCTGAAGAGAAATTGTTATTGTTGTGTGGCTATGTTGAATGCTGGAGCTATATACAATTGTTACATTTTTTGATACGGGATAGGGGAGAGGGTGTGAAGGTTTATTTGTCACCTTCATAGTCTTCGTCGCTGGCGAGGCCGGTCTGACTGTTTGACGATATCTGAACGGATCCAGAGTAATCCAGTTCATCGTCGTAGTTATCAGGAACATTATCGAGTCCAGCTGTTGGACCGTATAAAATGGCACTTTCAGTGGTAGTCGTTGTTGTCGTTGTTGTTGTCGTCATTTTTGTCGTGGCTTTTTTATTCGGTCGAGTTTTTGTGCTTTTCGCATTCAACTTTTTCATGTTATTTCTCTTATTGCTACTGTTGCTATTATTGCTATTGTTGTTCCCGCCACTGCGGCTTCCGTTATTGCCGTTGGCTTTCTTCTTCTTGAGACATTGTTCTGTGTTACAAGCGACGGCTTTCGTGACAGTGGTGCCGCTGCCGGCATTTTTCCGGTTCGATCCTCGATCGGTCAGTGATGCAGGAGCTGGACGGCGATGATGCTGATGCGTCATCGCGTGTCGAATATGATGATGATTTGGCTGTGGTTGTTGTTGTTGTTTTTTACTTAAGCTACTATTTATGCTACCATTACTACTACCGCTCTGGCATTCCGGATAGACTAATTGTTTTTGAGTGAGTTCCATAAGCTGTTTTCCCGACTCACATAAATGCTTGATACCGTGCGTAACATGATTGAAACCAAAGCGTTTACCAATTACAGCCTCTGAACGATGCTCTGGCACGGTCAAAGTAAATGCTTTTACATATGTCGATAATTTACCCAATGGCTTGTTAGATGGCAAATGGGTTTTACGCGGTACACCCAGACGATTCAAGGCCATATAATATGTTCGCCAAGCACTCGAATGATGTGTCGATGTGTAGTAGTTGTAATTGTCTTCCAGTCGCTCATTAAATATGCAATCGTTTGTAAATTCACGCTGCAATGAGAAAATGAATAAAATTTAAAAAAATGAAGCAGGGAATCTTTTTTATGATGGCTAATAATTAAACACAGCGTTCAGAATATCGCGAAGCGAACACAAAAAAAACGAAATGCGAGCAACGAAAAGAAATATAACAATTAAAAAATATTGATTGACGGATTATCATAGAAAAATTTATCGCATATCTAATTAATTCGTCTATTTTCATAACACCATCATTAGACTGAAAGGAATGATGGGCTAAGGTTTGGTTCTCATCATAAAGTCGGACATTGCTTCTGCCAAGCAGCAAAAAAAAAAATCGATGCCAAAGCAGATTGAGCTGTCAGATTGAGCTGCTCGTGTGAGACCAGTAGTCACGATGTGTGAACTTTTTATGGCTTTACGGCTTGTCTTTGAAATGGGACAATTTGCATTCAAATTTTGTTTAGTTAAATCGCTAATCATTTTGCCAATCGAATTTCAGTTTGAATGGCCCATTCCGTTGATATGGACTTCGAAATTCACCGTTTCACTATTGACATTTACTTCTGCAGATTAACATCAATGTTGTAAAACCAAATTGAGACAAATATTTAAACGATTTTAAGTTCGCCCACATAATTAGTTCAACAAAGCTAAATTGGCATGTTCTCGCACCTTTTATGGCCGATGATGATGCCGTTTTATGGTTTTTTCTAAAACTTGTCCGACGAATCAATGGCTCAACAGAGACAGAAATGCGATCATTTTCATTTTGCGACGATCATTCCGAGCGATAATTTGCGCTTAGACCATCCGTCTATAGTCATAAACGCTTAGCGATAAAAGTACTTTCTTTCCGACTCAAAAAATCTGGACTCTTTTCATCCAAACAAAAATCCTGCCTCTCTAATGCTGAATCATATTTTGTCGGTAATAAAATCATGCGCCTGACATTTGTTTCGAATTTCTCCGAAATGAAATTGTGGCGCACGAGCATTGTGCGCATTCATAAATACTAAACGCGTCAAATTAATAAAAGTCAAGCGGTATGATATGTTGTTGTGGTTCACATGGCGCCTCTATGAGATAAGATACACCCATCAAAATGGTACATTTTACTCAGGTTAGACGCAACGCGTTGCTCCATTAAACGACGACGACCACCAATTCACCGAGCCCCAGAGAGGTGATCGACTGTTAATTGTTGCGCGCATTTCAAGTGCCCAGATCTTTTGAAACTTTATCATAATCACACACAAACGGCAACTGACGCCATCAATTTGAAATGAAATTTATTGCTCTCAACTGGAAGAAAAATTATTCAAGTGATCTCCGTGAATGTTGAAACTTCACCAATAAAAAAAAACGAACGAATCAACCGAAGTTGTATGATAAGCGAAAATAATGTGAAGTGTAAATAAACGGCGGTAATATTCTTTCATCACATCGTGAATACAGATTTTCGTTTCTCTCGTCGATGGCGGGTGAATGGTGCTCGTGGTTCGTTCTTAAAGCGCGATTAAAAAATAAATAAAAATTATTGATTTAGGTGCATGTTTCAGTTGTCATACGGCTTTTTTCCATACTTATAATTGACATTCTCTTTCGGAAAAGAATTTTTCTTTAAATGGCCAGACGCTTCTTATTCGATAGATGCCGAATGGGATTTGAATTGTGAGAATGATTCATAGTGACGGTAAAACATGTTGACCCATTTGAATTCGGCTTGACTATTGATCGAACGTTTAACTTATCGTTTTCAATTCTTCCTGAATTACGAAGCATTTATCGCCAGATTTTCATTTGAATGCACGCATTCAAATCAAGCGGCTGTCCAAAAGAGTGAAAAATGAACCGAATGTAGAAGAAAAGACATGACATATTTAGAGGCAAAAGGCAGACATTGAAAGAAAATGAAAAAAAGTGAATCAAATTTCAGAACATTTATCGTTTTATGGCCGTTTTCGCATGAATTCAAATTGTGCCGTAAAATTTGACACTTTTACTTCCATTAGCACGGATATGATTTTTTTTCGTTCGATTCTCGTTCATCGCCATTTAGTTCCAGTCATAAACCAGTCCTGCTTGCATTCAATGATTTAGGGCGGCGGCTGGCAAAAGCGATCATTTAAATGTCGTGTAATTAAATTTTATGCGAAACATATGAAATGCATGCCGCTTGAAAATATTGGAACTGGAACAGTTATCAATTGATTTTGGTGCGCCCGCACATATTGACACGTTAAGGCGTGCAGCTGATTTTGGATTCGACACATTGCATCGCATTATGACCGGTGTCAATGTTTTATCTATTGACTTTTGAGTTTATGTGTGCGAGTGTGAGCACATTAGATACCAAACAATAGACGAACCAATGCACAAAATGAAGAAAAGAAATCGATTTTCGACAACGACGAGCGTCGACAATATTCATGTAATTGAGACAGAGGTCCTTCATCCTTTGCTGCGCCGATTGGGTGTGTATGTGCGTGTATATCGCATCTCAAATGGTGTAAATTGATATGATTGGCTTTCTAGCTGTCGCATGATTGAGTGTAAGCCTCATAAAATTGTTATGTTTATTTGACACCATTGACAGCATTCAGGAACCAATTACATTTTCTTCATCTTGAGTTTCTTTCGAGCCGACGACAACGAAGAAAGAAAGAACGAATTTTTCCCATTCAATCAAATGCTGTATTGCTGTCGTAGTTCTCTTTCACCTTTGTGCATCGTGTTTTCGGTGCGGGCTATCACTGCGCTACGGCACGAAGAAAGCAATTGAGACGAAATACGAGAAGGATGCACTGCCGAAGAGAGAGAAAAACAATAAAAAGGGTGATAAATTCGAATAGATGCGAACAGATAAGCATCGCACGGAGAACGCTCAATGAACAACGTTTCAATGGTGCACATGAATAGAAGGCGCATTCGGTTTGTTCGTTTCTTAACGCATTGGAAATGCGTGTGTGTGTGTGCGTATGTATAGCTTCATTGAGGGTTGTAATTACTATTGCTAACAACAATTCGATGCTGTTTGCCATCATTCGGGTGCAAGCAACATTTATTACACAGTCTGTAATACAGACAAGTTTTGCGCGTTACATCGATTCTCGTTCTCGTAAATACGTGCATCTCGAGTGTTTATCAACTCGGTTATGGTTGTTTTAATGGTAGCGTTTTTGAGTCCTTTGTCGAAGATAGACGGTTTTAATTAGTACTTGAAGTTGAAAAATGAACGGGATCAGTATGGCGAAGCCTACATAATCGAATAGCTGCTATACGATTGATGTTTTATAGCCTTTGTTTGAACGGCTGCACTTCCAAATGATTGTTTTTCGATGAGATTTTCGGAAAAAATCAATTCAAATCGGTTTAACACTACCGACTCTTCGATGACGACGCAAAATAGACGATTTTTTTCCCTTCAAATAGACGCGATTGAAGAGCAGCCAATCAATTTTAGATTTGTTTGTAAACAAACCTAATTGCTGACACACTTTCACTACATTGGAATGCTTGCATACAAATTTTTGTGTCAAAATCAGTCAAATGCTGGCCCATTTTACGCGGCGCAGTGACACTGTTCCAAATTTAACACCAATTTTCATACTCATCCAGGAACCTTTGATCATTAGTTGCAAAGTAGATGCAGGAAAAGAGAAATTTCAGCTGATGAGATATTTATGGCATTTTAAGTGACAGTTTCCTTACATTTCAATTTGTCGGATGAATTTCGGCGCACACGTTTTTACGACTGTGAAGTCGTTTTTTTTTAAAGAGAAGACAAAACTCAATAAAAGCATCCATTCCTTTGAATAAACTATCACTTCCTTGACTATCTTAGAAAGGTTGAAGTGTTAGAACGCATTTTCTTTATGAAGATTCAATTCATTTAGGTTTGAACAAAGACTAAAACCACTTTGAGTCAAACATTTTACTTTCGTTGTAAATGTGCGCCGTGTTTAGGAAAAAAAACCTTCATTTCAACCGTTTCCATCTTGTTTCGTCAGTTTCGTTAAAAATTGCCCGCTGTATTCATTATGAAAAAGACAATCGAAAATACATACCGAACTGTACAAATTTCCGCACGAATCCATGCAAAGGTACAGACAAGTTGCGATCCCAATCAATCGTATTTGTCCCACATCGACAGTGTTTCGCTGCAGAATTGCTGAAAATAAATTTTTAAAAAAAAGCGAATTAAACGTCGTGAACATGCACATACATATTGTTTGGAATTATCCTTAAAGTTAAAAGCCAATGACCAGACGGGCGAAGAGCAAAAATACTAAATGCAAAAATGGCATCCATTTGATTTGATTATTGAGTTTTTGTTTGCCATCGATAGTGAGCAACCAAGAAAACAGAGCCAAATGTTTCTTCGTTTCTGTTATTTTTTGTGTGTGCGGCGGCAACAATTCTTGGTGGTCCGTATGACATGCGAGATAGTTGTACGGTTGTGTTTCGTTTTCGACTTTGGTGACACTTTCTCGTTTTGTTGCACTTTTATTGAATTTTAGCATCATGTAAACCGCCGCATCGATAACACCAACTCTCTCGTTGTTCATTTTGGGTAGAATGAACGAACATTTGTTGTTACATTTTCATTGTTAGAATATACATTCGTTGTGTGCATTCTGTTTTCGTCAATTGATTCTGGATCGTTTCTTTTTGTCTGTTCGCTGTTCAATGTAAGCGATACTTTTGATTTCATGAAATATGCGCGCTGTAGATCATTGACCACATTGCCGAGGACACAATTTGATGCTATTTTGTAATGTATAGATTTTCGATGTGCAAACACAACAGCAATAGACACGAGACCGGGCCATTGTTCGTCGACGATTACAATCGCATCGGAATCATGTTGATTTTTTTCATCCTCTGTTGTGTGTACATAGAAAATCTATTCAAAACCAATTGTTGTCTCAATAGTTAGTGTCTGCGATCGAATGTCTCGGCAGCGGCGATGACGGTGGTGGCTACAAAACGACAAAATTGGCTTGACTACGCACATTCAATTACTTTAAATAGAATCCTCGCGAAAACACTGAAATGGTGTCACTTGATCGCATCGATGTAATTAATCATACTATTCTCGCCGCCGTTTTTCTCTTGTTGCATTTGGATTTCGCACACCCGTCATTCCCGTTACACCGATTTTTATCGAGCTGCTGCTATTTTCGATCGTTTCCATTTTTAAAGCGTGCCGTGTGCAATTTTCCGCATAATTTTAATGGACCGGCTAAATAGGTTTGCGACTAAATTGCAACAAATCGCCATTGTGAATCAAAACTAAACAGAAAGACGACAGCGCGTGGGCTGACAAATAGTCACATTCAATTGATTGGACCACGCAACACACGTAGAAACAATTTTCAATAGAATTCGTTCACGAATTGTGCGAATGAAATATTTGATAGAGAAACTTTCTACGTTTTTTTTCGACTGCCTGATGATCATCACGTTGATAAGTTTTATCGCGTAACAACCTTATCATAGCGCCTATACAAAATGTATTATGAATTGCCTAAAAATTGCTTTATCATTAGTATCGCTACTATCATTCTTTCATCAGATATTAAACTTGTTTTTTTTTGCGCGAGTGGAATATCCATTAACACGATAAAAATTTCGATTCAGCGTGCGAATGACATTCATTTCAAATTAGACTTTTCAGGTTCAATCAAAATACCATTTTTTTTCACCGAATTTTTTTTATCACGCACTTTTTCCCGATTTGTCTGATCGGCATTTTATTTTTAACAAAAAGCTGTTATTTTTAAAACGACCATCGAAAAAGAAAATAACCCAAAACTTTAAACTCTCACCACGAATGAAAAAAAAACACACACTTCTAATGACTGTGCGAACACGAGCGGTATTTTTTGTAAGTTAATTCATCATTTCTGCTGACGATTTATATGAAGCGAAGCTAGTTTGTCGAACAAATATTTGCTTCTTTAATCGTTTTTCCTTTGTGTCTCATGCGTTGTTGTTGTTCTTTTTTTTCGCTCGTTCTCTTGTCGTGAAGAGATACCACACGCTTTTATACGCACAAAATATCCGTTCTGCGAGGTGTACGTGGTTTTTAAAAGCATTTAAACGAGTGAAAAACAACCTACGTAACTGCTACCGCAATAGCCACACTGCTCTCGGCTTGTTCAGCAACGAAAAAAATTAAGTCATTATCTCAAGTCCTCAACTTTGTTTTAACAACAAGTCATTCGTCTTTGATTTTTAGCTCAGTCAGTGTCTCGTAGTCTCTCATGTCTCAATATATTTTAGTGTTTTTTTATTCGTTGTTGTTCGTTCGTACGAGACGAGGCCTGTACCTTTAGGTGAATGTGTAAGCAAATTTATCGACGACTTTATTAGTCGTACGCAATCATGTCAACATAGAATAATTTAATGTTCTCTTGTTTCCATATTTTTTTTGTTCTCCTTTAGTAATTTATTTCTCTCGACTTTTTTTTCGCTTTTATTGTCCACTCGTCGACTTAAAACGAGACCTGTCACTTATTTACATATGCACCAAACATTTTTTTCGACGTTTTTTCTTCTTCTTTCGAGAAATAATCGATTATAAAGTTATGTGTACAGATTGGCATTGTTACAAGATCGCGCCTGATAGATACATGACAAATGAGTGATGGGAACAATTCACCGTTTATATGCACAGGCACACATTGACTCTTTCGTCTCATAGTATCTCATACGCACCTAATACTCAATCTCCGCGTTCGTTTGTTTGTGTTAAAATTATTTATGATATAAACATGTCGAATTTGGCTGCAAGCACCTTCCATTTTCGTTCAGATCAAACGATTCGACCTGAGATTGCGGAATTCGGACAGCGAATAAAAAAAATACACATTCACGTTTTTTCTTCAGCTAATCAATCGTACGCTTAATTATGTAAAATCAAATAAACAGAGAGTGAGTAAAAAATTTCGCTAAATACGGCTCGCTTTTAATCCAATAAAATTCGACTATTTTTCTTAAAGGAAAACGGAAATACAAGTCAACGACCATCTAAACGCAATCGTAAGCAATCAACACCGAAATGTGCACAACAAATTTCAAAAGAAATCCATCTTTCAACGTTTATCGTTAGAATCATCTATGCGCGGAGTTGTGAATGAATTCCGATTCTTGATGAGTTCGGGACTAGTTTGATAGTTATCTCATTCGACTCAGAAGCACGAGTTCTTGTACAAAAAGACACGGTTTATTTGGTGAAATTCACGATTCGTGTTGTGAAAAACATAAAAAAAAATATTTTTCTGCTAATTCACCAATATTAAAAGTTTATGTTGGGTCAAATGGTTCCATAATAGAATGAATTTAGCATTTTTAATGTCGCTCGCTGTAGTAATCGAATTTTGTATCAGAGGGCAAAAAACAGTTTCGGAAATGAACATATTTGGAGGAGAAAAGACGATGAAGGTTCAGAGCATGTTTGGCTGAGTAAAGTAAGCAGTTATACTCGTACAATATGCGAACTCAACCGCATCAATGTAAATGCAATTACAATGCAATCAGTTGGATTGGCTTCATTCGCTTTCACCCTACTCAAAATCGAATGAGAAAAAAAAATTGAATTTTCCAGTCATTGATTTCATGTGGTTGTGACAGCGAAACCGAACCGATTTGATGGAATCAGTGTTTGTTTCCGTTCGATTATTCATAAAAGATGAAACGAGCCAACAACACAAAACCTGAATAATTTATTGAATTTCAAATATTGGTGGCGGCGCACAAACAACAACAGCAATAGCAACAACAGAAAAAACGATGAAGTTGAAATGAGCATGAACAGTAACCATGGATGAAGACGAAGAAGAAAAAAATCTGTTCAAATGAAGTGATTAAAATGCACTCGATCGAAGAATGAGCACGTATGGCGCAACAAACGCGTTCCCAATGTGCACACAATAACCAGCAATTCAATCGCATACGATTTATGGCATTTGGTCCTTTTTTCTCTCTCTCTCTCTCTCTCTCGATTTTTTTTCGCTCCGATTTCACGACAGCGCTTTCATCTTAGGTTTCAAGTGCAATAACATGAAATGATTGCCATATTCGCACTTCTCTCGCACAGTATGTGCCGATTATTTGGTTTCTCTCAAGAATGGCCATGTGGATGGAATAAAACAGTATCTCCGGCGAAAACAAAAGGAACTCAAGAATAATATAAAACGCAACAATTGTCTATACGTTTGAAATGCGAACAGAAGAAAAAAAGGAAGAGTGTTTGTGAATGAAAGCGAAAAGCCATGAGCCACAAACACATGAATGAGAGCGAATGCACCCTCTGGAACGGCGAATGGAATAACAACAAAAACGGGCGAACGTATGCAACAAGTAAACAAATGCGGATAAAAAAGCATAAATAAAATATTTATGATATTTATATTTGAGGCTGCTCGGTTGTTTCCCGCTCCTTGCGGCAATTCCTCTTTATGCAGAGTTTCATCGCCGCGAGTGAGAGAGAGAGAAAAAGGCGAAGTAAAAAAATCTGTGTTGACTGCAATTCGATGCCAATTAAAATAAATAATTCAGAAAAATCTGTTTTTAAATGCAATAAATTTTCGGGCCATTTGCAAGATGTCGATTATGACGACTATGGAGAAGAAGAAGCTGCTGTGGCCGCTGCTTAATGAAATTATGTTCTCGAACTAGAAATCTCGTTCTGTGAATAAAAAGTTCTTTTTTGATGTCATGATAACAGCAATTATAATGCATTTATCGTTGGCTTATCGCGTCGAGCTTAGCAAATAAACCGCATCTTTATCGTTCATAATCTTAGAAGCAGTCTAAAATGCAACAATGTACACACGGTATTTTCTATAAATATGACCTCGATTTTCATATTTGTCACATTCAATTCTTTTGTCTAATGCATGCCGGGGCAATGCACTTAGAAGCAATAATGCCGCTCGATGTTGTTTTTTCATTGCAAGCATCAGAGGGGTTCGTAAACATTCCGGCACAACCATCAAGACTCGGTTTAGAGAATGAATGGTGAAAAAAAGAGCATTACCATCGTAATAACATTTACTTCCGCCTCAGTAACCGATCTCAATTCAATTACACTAATAATAATGAACTTAAAATCGAGTTGTGATAAAAAAAATTATGTATATTTTCAGGAGCTCATTTTCCTGC